AGAACAACCCCAAATCACAATGTACTACACAACACTTTTTCACACCATAACAAATGAAGAAAACTACTACTATGCTATGTAATAGAGACTCGTCAATCGATAGGAATTGCATGTCTTGTGAGGATGGAGTGGAGGATGTCCACCATTAATTATTGAGTAATGATAGGGATGATGAAAATTTAAAACTGATGACGTGATAATACTCATATCAATAAATTAATTAATGCATATAATATTATGAATTTTAAGAAAAATTTAATTATTAAATAATATAGAGTCCACATTTTAATATTTCAAATGACGTGATTTACACCATACACTACTAAAAAATGTGCCTTTTTCGGTCCAGATATTTTGGTCAAGTAATTATCTTGACCGAAAAGCATATTATTTCAGTCATATATAATGACCGAAAAATAAGTTCGACCGAATTAAATGGAGAAAGACATGCAGTTTGGTCCCAATTTATTTCGGTCAATGAGATTAACAGAAATAAAACAATTTTGGTCAAGCTCACTGACCGAATAATGCAGAAGAAAAATTCCCCTCCCAAATAGTAACCAATTAGTATAAAATTCACTAATTCAGTCATAAAAATGACCGGACTAAAATCTGCAAAAAAATGATTTTTTTGGTCAGTTGAACTAAATGAACAAATGATGCAAATCTGTAAAATTTGCAGAAAGATGCATGGTAAATGTGCATAGCAGATTTTTCAGATTCGTTGATTAAAAAAAGTTGCTTGAAAAAAATGAAAGGGAATTGTTTCCCTGTGCACGGATGGGAGTTCTGTAAATTTGCAGACCTCCATGCTGTTTCGGTCAGTCTCACTGACCGAAATAACAATGAATCTGCATTGAGATTCATCATGGCTGTTTCGGTCAGTGGGACTAACCGAAACATGCCTGAAAAAATTTGAAACTGCACCAGCAATTTTTCATGGTTGTTTCGGTTAGTCCCACTGACCGAAACATGCCTAAAAAAATCCTACTCATGCGCCACCAATTTTTAGCCCCTATTCCACATGGAAATGTGCAGAGTTTCAGATTTATTTATGGCTGTTTTGGTCAGTGGGACTAACCGAAACATGCCTGAAAAAAATCTTTCCCTGCTCCAGCAATTTCTAGCCCTTATTCTGCATGGAAATGTGCAGAGTTTGCAGATTTATTCTTGCTGGTTTCGGTCAGTGGGACTGACCGAATAAATCTGGAAATCTGCAAAGTGATATGCTAGCATTTGTTCGGTCAGTTTTATTGACCGAAAAAATGTTGTAAAAAAATTTGTTTTTCCCTGAATTGCGTGTGAATCTGCAATTGAGATTTGAAATAGACTGATTCATTTTTATTCATTGCATTTGCATTTTTATCAAAAAGTCTTTGCTCTGTTTACTCTTATTGTCTCCTCTTTAACTTCTCACTAATTTTTGATTGAATCCATGCACCATAAGCTGCCGTTGATTAATTTAGTTAATATTTAGTAATTTTCAAGGCTTTTGATCTAAGAAAAGTATGATTATATACATT